GTTAGCAGAAAGCTAAGAATAAGATGGATATTTCAAGAATTATCCAGCTACTTAGGATAAACTTACGACTATATTTCTTATTTTACGTACGTTCAGTATTTGCTTTAGCTTTCTTAATTTCTAAAATTCTAAGGGCACACTTTCATGATGCGTAAGGAGATAGTCTAGTAAAGACTGCCAAACACCAAGTCCCAACTGAACTGGTCCTTGAGTCTATCATCAGTAATGAGGCTCTGTTGTTTAAATTTTAAATTTAAAATATGTATACTTCATGTGATTAATAATTCAAAATTCAAGTCAGAAAGCTTAGTAATTTTGGAATAAATGTAATTTATGATTAAATGAATATTACAATGAGACTATATATATGGTGAGAATTAATGGAGCTTAAAGGCATTTACTGGATTTAACTAGTGCCAGTGTGACCACAATGGGTGTTAGCAAGCTAAGCTTTAAGCAATGGAAAAATTTTTAGAATTTATGATAGCCCCTGGGTATGCCAATATTGTATAAGGGTGTGTTGAATATACACCCTCATACAATATTTTGAAGTTAAGAGTAAGTAAATGAAACAATGTTAGAAGATAAATTCACCCTTTTGTTTTCTTCTATGTTTATTGCAGTATGTCCACATATTTTTTATTATCTTCAACAGAACAACAACCCCATCCTGAAAAAGTAAAATATAACTTTGTAACAGTGCGAATGGAAATAGCCAAGTGGTTAGATAAAGTGCAGAGTTGTACAACAATCAGTTCCTCGTGGATAACATTGTTTTGCACCAGGGTGCATTGGTAATTTGACATAGAACCGAGTTTTCGCATTTGTAATTGTTTTCTGTTTGATCGAGGCATGGGATGCAGATTTATATAAAGGAGTAACCTGTTATCTATAGATAAAACACTGTACTTTACACACTCCAAACTTGCGAATAGTATTTCGTGAAATTGAAGATATTCGTGTATGTTTTTCTTCTTTGTAAAACACTGCAATGGTTTTATCCACATTTACTTGGATTATCAATTATTTCAGCCAGGTCACTAATCAGGATAATAACTTTATCAAGGATCACTGTGTCATGAGCATATGTTGCAAGTATAGTAGTGTTGGGTGCGAAAGGAATGTTAATAATAATAATGAATGTAAATATTAAATAATGGGATGCCAGCTAAAATAACTGGCGGTTATTTTATATGTGGTTGAAATGTGAGACAGTCTGTCTACCTGTTAGGTAGGAGTGATGTGAGTAATGTAATTTGGAAAGATCAGATTGTGTAATTTTGTAAATTATAGTGTCTCTCCAAATGCAATTGAAAGCTTGGCTATGTCAATAAATAATGTAAATTTGTTTTACTTCAAAATACTGTTACGCATTGTACAGCAGATTTAGGGTTGGCACATTTAGCGAGAAATTGCCCATTTGGCAACAAAATTGGTGCTATGCCAGATGGAGAACCTTCTGGAATAAATTCTTATTGATTTAACCCAGAATGTTTTCAAACTATAAAGCTATTTGGTATGTAGTAAATCTTTCAGCATTGGTATAGTGGATCTTGTCAGGTTTCAAAGCAAATTTAGATAAATAGTCACAGTATCTGATGTCTAGAATAATTCTAACCTGCTTCCAATCGGAAGATAATTCAGTGTTGGGATTTTTGGAGCTGCCATGCACATTAAGGGGCATTCACACTGAGCTAATGGAGTCAGTTCCATATGTTTACAAATTCCATTATACATAAGGTTCAGATTTTTGAACTCATTCTGCGGTGAGGAAAAACTAATTTTGGAACTCTGGTGGCTATGTGAGATGTCGCTGTTAGCTCGGATAGATTTCAGTGTGAATACAGGCAAGTTGAAAAATTCCTAACTTGCACATAAGCTACTATTAGAATTCTAGCAGTTTTACGCAAACTACGCATTTAGGTGTACAGCCATTATAAGATGATGTCCAAATCTTAGTAAAATATTCAGACCGTTAGTAATTAATGCAGTATTCCAATTTATTCCCAGTGTAATAGCTGTAACCTCTACAGCAAAAAGCTGTGGAATGGTAACAGTATAATGGGGATGCATGATTCAATAATAGCTTACATCTATAGAAGATATGTGATAGATGAGCAGCTTGTAGGTACATATCAGGATAGTAATCTTTCCAAAATTCATTAATCCTAATCTTGCTGGAGCCTAGCACCCAATGTAATCACATAGAGGGTTTTTCTTGAGGAGTGGTGGGGTGTACTAAGTATAGAATGTAGGATCTAAAGTGACGGGTTAAGTGCTTCTTTGCAGCAATACAGTATTCACAATAAATGTTTTTTTTTTAAAAAAAGGAAACAGTAATAAGAACTACAGCTGTGATTAGCTGGCATTGCAGCAGCAGTAGTGAGCTGGACAAACCAAGATTCAATCTATCAGAGGATCATTCGCAACTCTGATGTCGAGTGTGATGGGTGAGTTTACACACAGGGAAAAAGCTGACATGCATCTCGAGTACGGTGCTGGTAAGGGGAACAGTAGAGCAGTGTTACGGTTGTACCAGGAACGGTTTCCGAACAGGCGTATGCCGAAACACACAATGTTTGAGAGGTTGCACCGGTGTGAAAGAAGTGCATGACAACATTGTATTGAAGAATCCATGTTGAACATTGTGCATGAATTGCCTGAGACAAGTACAAGAGCTATTGCACGTCCTCTGCAAAATTAGCCGTGGTGGACCCGTTCGGTGGCCAACCAGTTTGCCAGATTTATTCAGCTTGGATTTTTTTTATGGGAGCATCATCTACAAGAATCCCGTTGAGTCACTGGAGGACCTCGTTGCACGACTATCCATTGCGGCTGCAAGCATGCACGAAATGCCTGTCATTTTTTAAAATGTTCGTCGATCTCTTCTGCGACGTTACCAAGTATGTATTTAGTGCTGGTGGTTGCAATTTCGAACATTTATTGTGAATACCGAATTGCTACAACGAAGTGTTTTACGCTGATTTTGTGCATAAACACATTTTCCTCTTGTATTGTTTTTTTGCATTCCTGCTTTAACCCGTCACTTTAGACCCTACATTCCTATAAAAAATGCATGTTAGTATGCTCCACCACCCCTTTAAGTTTTTCCCATAATCTATGAAACACCCTGTATTTTCTGTAACATCTATTTAACCTCATTAATTGAATTCTAAATGGTCTTGTTTTTTCCCAGCACACCCATATGTATACATTTTGACAGCTGAAATAGTGCTATTAACTGGTGCCCTTTCAAATATGGAAAGTGCAGCATTTTCGAAATAATTTAATTTGGTCCGCCGGTTTTGACCTTGATTCTGGAATTAAAGCTGATGAAGTTGAATAAATGCATTAATTGTTTCAAACCGGCGAATAGCAACTTGTATGATTGGTGAGAGATTAAATGTATCAAATTCGGCCACTTAATCATTTGAAATGCCTATGTTTAATGTCAAATCTCAACATATGGGTTCCTCCCCTTCAGCTCTATCAGCTTCAACTCCACCTTCCGGAAGATGGTGCATCTTCAAGATAAAAACTGTTGGATTGAAATTTGCAAACCAGGTTTGGGACTGGCGTTCTGTCTTCTCCATATACCGAGTGGTTATGATTAAACGTCCTCTATAAATGACATCTTACATCAAACAGACTACAACGAAATTTTGTATCTGGAATACGGTGCACGTCTCGCATGAGATGCGCTCACAAAAATTTTTTAAAAAAAATTTTAGTTCTACAACGACAAGGCACCATTTCGAAAAAACAGGAAATTTAACACATAGCTAGCTACCTTTCATAAATTACCACAATAAACGACCACGGAATATAGAAACAATATTAACTAATTTCTGATCACCTTGTCATCAAGCTAAATTAAGTGATGTAAATGTAGAACGATGTAGGGAAAAGTGATCATTCACCTGCAAAATTTCAAGTCGATGAACAGTGTAAGAGTTTAATAGCAAATCGTAATTGATCAGTTGTGAAGCTGTGGAGTTCTTCAAGTCATTCGACTCTCTCGCACGCAGTTAAGTCTGGTTAATGTGGTAACCATGGATTAGGAAAGAAGCAGCTAATAACACATCGGAGGAATAGCACCTTCACGGATCCATAGATATGTGTGCACCATCCTGCATGAAAATGGTCGACGTAAGGACCTGGCTTTGCCGTAGTTGCGGCACAGCAATCGCCTGCAGCATCTCATGGTACCGATGGCACATACGAAACATGTGACAGGTGTACCACGTTCACCGATTTCCTCAGAGAAGAATAGCCCAAGGATGAATGTCGGCGTGAATTTGTATTTGTACCTTTGGAGATTTTAGGGAAATTTTAGCCCAAATGCAACAATTCTGCCTTGTTGTTCCACACAATATTCCATGACCAATCAACAATCATTCTGTTAAGAAAACCGACTGTGGATGAGAAACGTTGTAGGTTGTCCCTATCAATATCATGCGCTAATGCCTCATTCGTGGTGTGGCTGTGCAACTGACAGCTTTTCTCGATTATTGTGTTAAATTTCATGTTTTCCCCAAAAATGGGCATATTTTGGAACTAAAAATTTTTTTCGAAATTCTGCAAGCACATCTCTTGTATGGCTGCGAATACAGCTGTTTATAGGGGAAATTTAATTATAACAGCATTTTTACATTTTCGATAAAGTACGAAAGGTTACCAACTATTTCAGCTGTCAAAATACTCACTTCCAAAAGTTATGCACAAAGATGTAAAATGCAAAAAAATCAACAAATACTGCTTTGATCGACACAAAATTCGGTAAGAAAGTTGTATATATATATATATATATATATGTTACGGTGAAAGACCAAAATCTGGAGAATATCGACTTTCACCGGTGAATGTCAACATTCACATAGTCTCTTGGTGTATGTCCGAAATATTTTCCAAATACTCTTATTTCTGCCGGTCAATGTCGACATTCACTATGTACTAATGGCGAATGTTGAACATATAACAATATTATATTTTCTTCTCCTTCATTCAGTAGCAAATAAACGCACTTGAAACTTGAAATAAGAACTTAAGAACATGAGAACCTAAAACACAGAATACATTCAAAATGAGAAAGGAAAATAAAATAAATAAATAATACAATAAAAAACAAACACTTACCTTTTAACAAATGCAGTATTCTCCTCTTAGTTTGAAGTTATATTTTGTTTCTCATATTATTTTCTGTAGGATTCTCGTATTAATCATACTAAAGAACAGCACCAACTGAACAGTATTCGTTTTACTATCAAATGATTTTTTAACTCATAAATAACAACAACCCATTTATTTTGATTTAACATATTCAAATTCTAATCACAATAGTTCTCTTGCGAGGGAAGGAAAATTATTAGCCGGAAGTAGTAGTGTCGTGATATTAATGTGAAGTGACATTATGATGTTGATGTAATCACTTATGTAAGTTGTGCTAGTGTAATGCTGCAGTACTTCTATTTTATAGAGTTCCTTCAGTAAAACATATAACTACAACAATGCTTTATTACTGTAATAAGAAGCTACCTCTTCAAAGTACAATAATTGCATAATATTCAAAATTTTTAAATGATTGAAAATATTCAATACAATAGCAAATTTGTGGTTGTATCTTTCTCTATCACTGTTATATAAATGTGAATCATTTATAATTTACTAGCGGCCAGCCTTCCTCTGACTTTTTCATATAACAAAATACGTGCCTCGTGAAACACATGCGCGTCAGAATAACAAGATTGCAATGTGCATGCTGTGTGCCCAAATATGAAGAAAAAAAAAAGGGGGGGCAGCATTTTATCAACAATCAGCAGTCCAGTATACAAAGCATTGAATGAAAAACTGTTGCCAAAACCACATTTTAAACAGCTTATGAGCAGCGCAAACACACAGATTATATGAAACAGTGCACTTGCAATGTATTAGAATGTATTAAAGTACATAATCCAAAAGTGATCATATTACATTGCAAATACTTTTGAGTATTAACTGTCTTCCTTAATTGCCATTTCTTATAGATAAAGAACTGAATTAATAAATTTGACAATAGAATGACAGAAGAACCATTTTAGTACTGCAGTCAAAAGTCTTTGATCTGGACTCGTCGGGACTTCGGCGATTCCGAATTATTGGTTTTTCCGGATTATAGATCATCAGTTTAAATCTGGTAAGATGGCATGCAGAAATTATAAAATTAAAAATATGAAACCTTAATTTATGAAATAAAGAGCAATTATGATCTAAAGGGTATCAAAATTAAAAAAAAAAAAAAAAAAGCTTAATATTTATTTGTTTAGTTTATTAAACATTTCTTTCAACGTGCGTACGCATAAAGCATACATTACGCATAGTTGAAATTAAAAAATTGCAACCAGAAAAGTTACTATTTGATGTGTATTCGTGATATTTATAATGACGAGGAATTTGATTTAAATCATATCAAAGATGGAGTACATCAAGATGAAATACTACATTTAGTAAGGAATTATAAGCCAAATAAAATAAAAACATCTGCACTGAAGATAAGGATAGTGCTGACAGATCAACTTCCAGTTCATTGCATTCCTTCATTACAAATATTAAAATGCAGAAAAACCAGATACAATTTTCACAATTAAAATCAGATATCCTATCCAAAGACTAGGAATTCAGCCAGCGGGTATGTAATTAAAAATATCTAAAATCTCGAAGCATCTTTAAAAATTGTAAAATAAAGAACCACCACCAGATACAGTAAAAAAGTTACAAGGCCAAGAAATTGAGCCAGCAGCAAAATTTTTCAGGGCACAAAACTGAAAGTTTACTGTTGGTGTCACTCAGCAAAAAGACACAGGAGTTGGTGCAAAACTGACTTAATTTACTATCTTACTAAGATTCTCAAATGCAAACAAATGAACCCTTGACACCCTTTTAAATTGTTTAAGTAGCTAATAATTACTATTGATAACAACAGAAAAATATAATTCAATCGATTTTAAAGCAAAAAATGCACAATTTACCAAGATACCAAATCTTAGTTCACCAAGCTAGATAACATAGTGTGAATATACATGTTTGGATCGGCAGATTGCAACCAAAAATGTTCATTTTTTCTAGCCAGATCTCAAACATCGATATTTTAAAACATGGTACTGAATTTTTTTTTTTTTTTTATGTCGCTCCATTTTACAGCATATAACATTCAGGTTACAACACATAACCTGAAAAAAAATTTTTGGAATCCTACTCGTAGGTCACGAAAATATGAAATGAAGTTAGTTATTAATGAAACAAAAATACCACTTATTGGTATTGAATGCATATACACTTATTGGGTTACGATCGCAGGATTATCAGTTACCATCATTTATTTAATCCCAAGTAAATTATTACTTTCAATTTTGATAAAAATGTAAACTAAATTAATTTTTATAAATTGATATAAACAATTTTTATGATATATTAAGAAATTAAATAGCAAAAAGTACTACAAAGTAATGATAGAGTAATACAAAATATGCAAAATCGAATAATCTCCAATCGAGTAACAAATCTGCATTGAAAATGAAACCTAATAAAATTTTAGAGAGCAGCATCAAGTTTTCTCTTTCTCTCTATATTATTATTTATATATACTTACTCTATTTTAAAATATATATAAAATTATTATTAATCAATATGACGATGTATGGCTGTGTAACATGACAGCGAGCAAAATTTGGAATTTAATTCTGGAACCAAATGCAATTTAATACATAAATAAAACATTTAAATTAAGTTTAGATTAATTTAAAAAATCTAATTTGATAATGAAAAATGTGTATAGTTTTAATAGATGGTGCACATCTATTAAATTTCTAGAGATATTAGGTTAATTGGAAAAGCCAGAGAGATGAAAAATTAGCAACCGCCTTCGCCGGGAATTGAATCACGGACCTCTGGAATACTGGCCCAGCGTGCAGAACCACTACACCACGAAGACACGCTAGGAAAATGGGAGATATACCTTATAAATTATACACATTTTTTGCTGCATTTCATTTAAAAATTTCATTAGATATATATTTCTCATTCAATTAACACTTCACAGCAAGGCATAAAAACTCAAAACAATTTCATTAAAAATTGTAAAATACAGAATACAGTTAAAAAAATCTGATGTGTACACCACATTACTTCCTTGTATGAAATATTAAATTATACTTTTTTTTTTTTACATTCAGAATTATCTAATCGTTGTCACATGTTCTATTTAAATAAGTCCGAAATCCAAACGTCCATTATCCGGAATGATCTAAAATTCGAACCTCAAAGCTTTGGTATGCTTTACGCATGCGCATTTCATTTTTCCTTCCATAATAAAGCATGTGGAGATTTTCACTTAAAAATTCCGATTCTTAATTTCACTTAGACACTAAATAAAATACATCGTTATGAAAAAAAGTCATGTAAGCATAAATTTGTGAGATTAAAAATTTTGCTCCGTAGCCGAGTGTCTGCTTGGCATTACATCTCAAACCGAAAACATTCACCTATTTTATAGCTCTGACGCCGACCTGGCGAGTCATGATTTATTATATTTGCTTTCATTACCCCATGTTTATCAATACATGACAACTTCACTATTAACTCATGCAGTGATGTCTAAACTTTTTTTTTTATATTAGGAATTGAATAACAAGAGAATGGCAGCCTTTTACGCTAACATTACACTTGGCAATGATTATAGATTTTTAAATGCTCTAAGAAATGTTGATGAGGAAACTTTCAAAAAAAAAAAAAAAAAAAAAAAAAAAAAAAAAAAAAAAAAAAAATCTTTTCATATGCTAAAAATAGATTTTGTTAATGAAACTCATAGGCCAAAAAATTACATTTAGTGCTATTTTAATTAAGAATAACTGCTATGTTATTCACCATAAATCCAGAAGCGGCAGCAGAATTTACGTAAGATGAAATTTTTGGAATTGAGGGAAGCACCAAGCGGCAAAATTAAGGGATGAGAAGATTTTTATGATTTAAGGAAAGCACTGGGATCCAAAGTTCAATATGCAACTTAATTCAGTACGCAGCAAGCTGCTCCTGTTGCATACAAAATCTAGCGAAACAACTTGCCTTTCGTCGCTAATCTTCTGACACACAGCCAATAATGTATAACAGGCACTATTAAGCTAGGCTAAAATTATCTTTACTGATTCTAAGGCATTTCAATTAATGTAGCAGACTGCACTGCTCCTTAATCTTGTAATATGATCCAGCTTATTATTTTTTTGCAGACTGTTATTATTACAGCAATTTTATAAAAATTAAGCTTGAACTTTCGATTATGTCGAAAAGAATTTCCAATTCTGGAGCTGCCAAAGGATCTATAAAGCGAAACCACGTTTCGATGTCCATTAAACAAAAAGTGAAATTGCTGCAAAAAATGGATGAAGGCATATCCGTCTCAAAATTATGTGAGGAGTATGGCATTGGAAAGTCCACTCTATATGACATAAGAAAAGGAAAGAAATGTTTAATAATGCAAACAACTAAATATTAAACTTTTTTTTTTTTTGTAAATTTTGATACCCGTTATATCATAATTGTTCTTTATTTCACAAATTACGATTTCGTATTTTTAATTGTATAATTTCTGCATGCCATCTTACCAGATTTAAATTGATGATCCGGAAAACTCCCAAAACCGGAATCGCCGAAGTCCCGACGAGCCCAGATTTCGGACTTTGTATTGTATAAAAGGAATACAAACAGAAACAGTTTTTCATAAATGATTCAGTATTTTTCAATCAATTGATTCAGTACTTTGAAGAGGTTCGACAGTGCATAAACCGCAATAGAATAAATGCATTCTTTAAAATTAAATCTAGTATTTGTTAATCATAGCGACACTCTGGCGCTAGATTCACTTAACAGTATTATATTTCGTTCATATCATTACTCATAATGCGCAAAATTTATATCATTTAAAGAATAGAATTATCTAATCGTTGCCACATGTTCTATTCAAATACTATAATAAAGCTAGAATTATGTATAAAAGAAATTAAGCAAACAAAACAAAAAAGAAACAGTTTTT